TTTGAGTCCTGGACCTGGCGGCTTGCTTTCTCACTTTGTCTCTCTCACTTACTTTGTTCCTCACTGGTCAAATTAAAATAAATAAATAAAGTTGAATAAAATTATAAAAACAAGAAAATGGTATACATACATTAATTGTAAAAAGGCAAGAACTAGGAAGTAGAGAGTAGAATAGTGGTTATTGGAATGGAGAGGTAGAGGAGAGGGAGGACTGAGAAATTGGTTAGCATACAGAATGTTAGGTAATAGGAGAAATATTCTGTAGTTCAATGAAACAGTGCAGAGTGACTATTTGAGGAAAGATCTTCAAAAAGTTCATGGAAATTAGCTTTTTTTTAAAGAATGCTTTTTATTTACTTACGTGTGTGTGTGTGTGTGTGGTTTTTTTTTTTTTTTTTTTTTGGGGTTTTCGTTATAGGGGGCATGCCCTCACTCGCCAGACAGACAGAGACATAGAGACAGAAAGCAAGAAATCACCCCCACAGGGGGATGGTCACGCTGCAATCCCTTCTCCTCCATTCTCCTCTCGGGATCTTGGGCACCCACGCACACGCGTCCGGCGCGAGTTTTAAGCCACCGGGTCCAGGATGTGAACTGTGGTCGACCATGTGGGAGTCCAGCGACATAGCCATTACACTAACTGCTGGTTCCCTACTTATGTGTTTTAATTTGAACAGAGAGGAAGAGGAGGGGGGGAGAGAAAGAGAGAGAGAGAGACAGAAAAGTGAGAAAGCAAGTCGTTAAGTTTGGGACTCAAACCATGGTCAACTATGTTGGAGTCCAGCGCCCTTAACCACCATGACACCTGCTGGCCCTGGAAATGAATATTATTATTTTTTAAGTAATTATTTAATTTATTTTTTATTTATTCATTTGCTGATTTTTTAATCTGACCAGAGAGAGACAGAGGGTGAGAGTGAGAGAGAGAGGAAGTGCGAAAGCAAGTCACCAGGTCCTGGACTTGAACCATGTCGGCCATGTGAGGAGTGTCCAGCGCCTTAACCACCATGCCACCCGCTGGTCCTGGAAATGAGTATTATTGTAAAACTTTGCATAGATTTCTAATTTGGGGGGACCAAAATTACTCATACTTTAACTCCATTTTTCAGAAACCCTTTAGCACATGTGCCTGTAGCAATTTTCTTTTTTTCCTTTCCTTTCTTTTTATTTCTCTTTTTTTCTTTTTAAGGGCATGTGTGCTCACTAGAGAGGAGAGAGACAGAGAGACATGGTGAGAGAAAAAGTGAGAAATCACCCTCCAGGGAGGATGATCATGTTGCAATCCCTTCTCCATTCTTCTCCTGGGATTTTGGGCACCCATGCACACACACCCAGCATGATTTTGAAGCTGCTGGGTCCAGAACCCAAATCACAGTTGACCATGTAGGAGTCTAGCACCTTAACCAATACACCACTTGCTGCGGCCCCTTCCTCCTCACTGGGTGTAATTTTCAAGTTGCCAGACCAGGACTCTGTGAGGTCAGCTATGAGGGGAGGGGTCAGCTGCCTTAACCTCCATGCCACCTGCTGGCCCAGTCAAAACTTTTTTTTTTAGGTTTTTGCCTTAGGGCACGTGGGCTTGCCATAGAGACAGAAAGAGTCATAGAGAAATAACCCTGGGGGTGGGGGGATGGCCATGTCACAATCCCTTCTCCTCCATCCTCCTCCTGGGACTTTAGGTACTTACACGCATGGGCTCAGCATGTTTTTTGTTTGTTTGTTTGTTTTTGAAAAGGTTTTTGCTATAGGGCGTGTGCACTTGCCAGAAAGACAGAGAGAGAAAGAGAGACAAAAAGTGAGAAATCACTCCGTAGGAGGGATGGCCACACCATTCTCCTCTTGGGATCTTGGGCAGGCACGCACATGCACCCAGCGTGAGTTTAAGCCTCTGGGTCCGGAACTTGAATCGCAGTCGACTACATGGGAGTTCAGCGACATAGCCATTATGCTAACTTCTGGTCCCCACAGGGTGGTTTTTAATCTGCCTGATCCTGAACTCAAAAGGCAGTGGACCTTGGGAGTCCACTGTCTTAACCACCATGCCACCTGCAGGTCCCACCAATCAGAACTTTAAAAACATTCCAGAAAGTATATAAAAAGGGATTTTTTTAAAGAATTATTTTGTTATTCAAGTCCCTGCTCTGCTCCTTTCCAGCTGTGTAAATTGGGACAAATTGTTTATTCTTTTTGCCATTTATAAAAGGATGATAATCTACTTAATAGGGTTATCATGAGAATCCAGTGAGTTAATTCATGTAAAAATAAAGGTTGGTGCCTCAGGTTAGTCTTTTTTTATAATTTTAAGTGATTTTAACATATATAGATTAATGTTCTCATGTATCTGTGCAGGCATCAGTCAAGCCTTAGGTGCAAACGTGTATGATGTGCCTAGCATTCTCCCAGACATTGGTATAGACACAGGCACAGAGTAAAGAAGACAGATGTGAATCTAGGGTATCATTTTAGTGTTAAAATGCTGAGAAGCAGGTGCTGGCAGGTGGCATGGTGTTTAAGAGCGCTGGACTCCCACATGGCCAACTGTGGTTCGAGTCCTGGACCTGGCGACTTGCTTCCTCACTCTCCCTCTGTCCTTTTCTGGTCAAATTAAAATAGATAAATAAATATACTAAATTTAAATAAAAATAATTCTTTTAAAAAATGCTGAGAAGCAAAAAGCGCAGATTGGAGAAACAATATGGTCTGAGGGCAGGGAAGGCTTCTGGGGACAGGGGCATTAATCTGGGTTTGAGGATATGTAGGTTTTTTTTTTTTTTTTTTTTGGGAGAGGTTTTTCGCTATAGGACGCGTGCACTCACCAGACAGACAAGAGAGAGACAGAGAGACAGAAAGCGAGAAATCACCGCAGTCCCTTCAGGATCACGCCGCAATACCTTCTCCTCCATTCTCCTCTCAGGATCTTGGGCACGCATGCACACACGCCTGGCGTGAGTTTTAAGCCGCCGGGTCCAGGACTCGAACCACGGTCGACTACGTGGGAGTCTAGCGACATAGCCATTACGCTAACTTCTGGTTCCCAGAGGATATTCTTGTGAGAAAGTCCAGAGTAGAGAAAGAGATGGAGAAAGAGCCTGGAGAGATAACTGTGTCTGGAGTGTACCGGTAGAGGTGAGGCTGGAGAAAGGGGCAGGGGCTCACCACACTGAGCTTGGCAAGGGAGTAGAGTTGGTAGGGGGATCAGAAAGGGGTTTCATTAGTGTCATGAAAGAATTCAAGGTCAGGTGGGCTGGCAGATGGTGTGGTGCTTAAGAGTGCTAGAATCCCATATGACCGACCACGGCTCGAGTCCTGGATATGGTGGCTTGCTTTCTCACTTTCCATCTCTCTCTCACTTGGTCCCTCTCTGGTCAAATAAAATAAATAAATAAATAAAGTTAAAATATTTCTTAAAAAATAATTATTTGTTATCGTTATTATTATTTTTAATTTGGCCAGAGAGACATGGAGGAGAGGAGTAAGAAAGCAAGCCTTGGGACCCACAGTTGGCATAATAGCTATGTCGCTGGACTCCCATGTAGTAGACTGCGGACCAAGTCTCAGACCCGGTGGCTTAAACTCATGCCAGGCGTGTGTGTGTGCATGCCTAAGATCCCAAGAGGAGAATGGAGAAGAAGGGATTGTGGTGTGGCCATCCCCCCTGGGGGGTGATTTCTCTCTCTCTCTCTCTCTCTATTTCGGGTGAGCCTATGCACCCTATAGCAAAAACCTCTAAAAAAAAAAAAAAAAGCAAGCAACCTTCCAGGTTCAGGACTGACTAGACAGCCAAGTGGGAATTCTTAACCACAGCGCCACCTGCTGGCCTTCCGGAGGATATACAACATTTAATTTTTTTTTTTAAAAAAAAAGATTTTCTTTAACCTTATTTATTTTATTTATTGTATTTACTTACTTATTTTAACTTGACCAGAGAGTGACAAAGAGAGAGAGAAAGTGAGACCAAGCCGCCAGGTCTGGGACTCGAACTATGGTGGGTCATGTGGGAGGGAGTCCAGGGCCCTTAACCACCACACCACCTGCCAGCCCCCCCCCCTTTTTTTTTTGTGCACTTGCCAGAGAGAGAGACAGAGAGAGACAGAGACAGGGAAAGTGAGAGACAGGGAATGGCCCTACCACAATTCCTTCTCCATTCTTCTGGGATCTGGGGGCAAGTACACGCATGCACGTACACACACACACACTGTGTGATTTTCCAATCTGCCAGGTCCAAGACTTGAACCTTAGTCAGCCAGGTGGGAGTCCAGTGTCTCAATCACTTTGCTACCTGCTGGCTCCCCCATTCACTTTTCTTTCAAGCAGCACTTCACCTGTAAAATGGAAGTAATGATGGGGCCAGCAGGTGGTGTGGTGGTTAACACACTGGATGTCTACATTGTTGACCATAGTTTGAGTCCCAGACCTGGTAGCTTGAAAATTACACTGGGTAGGGCCAGCAAATGGCATGGTGGTTAAGGTGCTGGACTCCCACGTGGTTGCCCACAGTTTGAGTCCTGGACTCAGGGGCTTGAAAGTCACATAGGGCACCTGTGTCCCAAATCCCAGAATTGAGAAGGGATTGTAGTGTGGCTATCACTTCTCAGGGTAATTTCTTACTTTCCCTCTCACTGCCTATCTCTTTCTCTCTCCATCCTGCGCACATGCTCCTTGGCAAAAACCTTTAAAAAAAAATCACACCAGGTGCAGGTACATGTGTATTCAAAATCCCGAAAGAATGGAGAAGGGATTGCTGGCCATCCCTCCTGAGGGGATATGATTTCTCACTTTCCTTCTGTCTGGTGAGCTCATAAACCCTATGGCCAAAAAAAAAAAAAGGACCAACAAACGGGGTTAAGGTGAGAATCTGAATGAAGCTTTCATGGCTTCATCAGCTGGCTTCCTAAGTGGGCTTTAGGTGGTAAAGTTTTGAGAACATGCCCTCCTGTTGTGGCTTAGACCGGTTTGGCTATGCTTTTTCACTGAGATTAACCTGTAAGCGTGTCCGTGTTTGTAATATGGAGCATTGTTAGAATTAAGAGATCATCAGTGCACGAAGTAGCATCAGTAGATGGTAGTTGTATTACTGTTCTTCTCTGGGGTGAGCCTATCAGATTCTCAAAGAGGTTTTTAACTTTGAAAGTTTGCATGCCGACGGCATAGGTCTTTCAGAGCTATCAGGAATCAACCCTCAGATAAAAGGAAGTAGCGCCATAAAAGTAAGCTGTCTTGTGAATCAGGAGGACCAGGCTGCACAGCTAACTTGTTTTAGCTTACTGGGTGATCCGCCTTTAAAAAAAGAGAAAATGTGGTGGTAATCGAGCTGGCAGCCGCAATGCAGCCCGTGGCAGCTTTGGTGACTGCGAGTAGACACTGCTGCACCGTAAGCACAGCCTTCCAGGCGCACTACATTTCCCAGCTTGCCACGCGCCTCGGGCGGCGCCCCACGCTAGCACGCGAGCCTCCCCGCCCCTCCAACCTCCAGTTACTGTCTCTCGCGAGAGGACGGGCCGCGCCGGCGGTATTGATAGCGAGCTGTGGTGCTGGTGGTGGTGGCGGCCGAGACGGCGGCGGCCATTTTGGTGAGGCCTCGGGAGCGAAGGCGGCAGTTCGCTGGGAGTAGCGTCTCCCCTTTTATCCACCCACCACTCGCATCTCTGTGCGGTGAGAGGAGGCAGTGAAGGCAAGCCAGTGGCAGTAGCCACGGCCCCCAGGGGAATTTAAAGGCCGCGGAGGCGGTGACCAAGAGGGGGCCCTCCCCCCCTCCTCGGCGGGAGGGGGGTGGTGCGCACGCCCCCGAGGACGCAGGTAAGGAGAGGGAGACAAGATGGCGGACGCTCCACAGTTCCCCTCCCCTGGTGGGTGACTGCGCGCGCATCTTTCCGCCACCGCCTCCCCTCCCACCTTCCCGGGGTGCTGCGCGCGCACCTTCAGCCGGGGCCCCGGGGCCGGTGCGCGAGGTTGTCGGCGCGCGCCCATAGACACAGGCTGAGGGGGGCAGGCCGGCCGGCACTGGGCCCCGGCGCGTCT